TGGGAGAAAACTGCCAACAAGGATCCGTGAACACCAATCGGCAGTCAGGAGGCATGACCCAATATTGTTGATTTCCCTGCACGAAGATCAAGAAGGACATCAATTTGACTTCGAATCAGTGAGAATTATCGACCAAGCCCGGTCAAAACACGCTAGAGAATTTCTCGAGGCCTGGCACTTTTAAACCAACTCAATAAACAGGCACATCGAACTTGATCACGTGTACACGCCAATGCAAGTGAAGGACCAAATGACGCAACAAAGGTCACGCCGTGACCTGAGAACGGACGGAAACCGCAACCGGGACGAAAAGACAACTTCCTCCTCTCTCACCCCCACCCGCTCGCAACAGTCCAACGGCGGACCGCGTCGAACACGGTGAGAGCAGGAGACGAAAATAGCCGGTGGAGAAGAACGCATATATAAACGAACGGGTACAGACAGAACACTGCCACTTCACAAGCACTGATGATGTCACCTCGGCTGGTGATGAAACGTTTGCAAACAAATTGCCAAGCTCGGCGAACAGGCGAAATGGAATTCAGTTCACCCGAGCTACGAGAACCGATTTTTAACATTTTGTCAATAATTATTTTTATCAGCAATACATTCTCCATTTCTAAGTGCAATCTCCTGTATATCGAACCCCTGAGAAGTGGCACTTTCCAGCACCTTCCCACTTTTTCGAAAACCCGAACCAACCGTATGCTTACTAACTCAGTTTATGACTATGCGATGTCACACCCCTCAACATGTCACAGCTCTTGATACGTACTCACTTGGTCGTTGACCGATGTTCGGGACGACCATTAACCATCCACCCTGAAATGTCGCACTCAACCGATGGCATCACACCTATTGTGACGCGTTCATGGTACTGTTCATCTGTTGGATAATCCTTGCGAGGAAATCTCACCGATGTGAGTGATCGGAGACAGTGTCATTTGACGTCAAAATGTGCAATCGCCTATCGATCCGAGAGAAGCAGAATGTGTTGGAAATACTGAAACAGCCAGGTACAACTCAGATCTCCGTAGCCAGATAACTTGAAATTTCACGAAAAACTGTCTACAATGTTGTATGCCGTCGGGAAGTTTTGAACGCTGGAGCATCTGAGGAAAGATGCCACCTGAAAACCAACGAAAATTTCAAGGCAGTGAATGAGGCAACTTCGGCTTGGTTGACTGCTATGAGGGAAAAGAACAGAGAGAGCATCGTACGTAAGAAGGCAATCCAGTTAGCATAATGACTTCATGGCTTCCAAAGGTTAGTTTCGCCGTTGGTCAGACAGATATTGTATTCAGTCGTACAAAGTAAGAAACGAGCAACTCATGTGCATTACTTTATAGGTGTGTGGAGAGGGTTTAGCTGTACCACGTGATGCACGGACTAATTTCGAGCAGGGTTACCGCAGTTGATACATGGATAAGCTGACTGGGATATTTTCAGTGTAGATGAAACAACTTTGTGTTGCATGCAGTTCCCAGAAAGAACATTATGTCTGAAAGGAAAGACAGTTTCTGGATCCAAGAAATCCAAAGAGAGGGTCACATTACTGCTTTGTGGGACTGGAGAAAAGTTATCACCGTTGGTGATTGGAAAGTTTCAAACTCCACGATGCCTTCGACATATGGATAGAAAAAGCCTTTCATGCAGTTATAATTCTTCAAAGAACGCATGGATGACTTCTACATTAGTTCACAGTTCGCTGTCCGACGTCAACCGCAAAATGGACAAAACCCCTTGACATAAACAAGCAGCAGTATTCTCCAACGTCAAATTCGTACGGCTGCCTCCGAACTGTTCTTCAATGTTACAGCCATTGGATTAGGGCATGATTTGGTCTTTCAAGTGTTTGTTTCAGAAACATTTGCTGGAACATGTTTTGTTTTTGATCGAAGATGAGCAACTTAACATGAAAACGGAGGTGGACATTCTCATGGTCATGCATCTGGTCAAGAAAGCTTGGGTGTTTGCGCACCCGCACGTACCGATTTTCAAAGGAGAGCCAACCTGAGACAAACGACGATTTATGATTTTGCTAAAAGTATATCACCAAAGCCACGGTCAATCGGTCTATCGATGGGCTCTGTCGCACTGACGTGCAAACGGGTGAACGATAATCGCGTCTGACTTGCGAGCAGGTCAGTGGATCGGGATGTCAGATCCGAGCGATCGATAATCACTGTCGCGTGGACGCGCCTGTTTAAATAAATGAGCGATATTCTCACTGGGCCTAGAGCACCGATGAAATAAGACAGGTCACTTACCGAAGGTCATCGTAACCCGGGTCTAAGGACAGTTTGTGTGATGCGCTTTTAGTGTATGAATCATTGATGGACTGCGAGTTGCCGTAATTCATGTAGGCTGGCATCTATGGCCTTCGGTTGGCTCAACAGGAGTGAATTTCTTCCAAGTAAACTCCCGTCTCACGCCTGCTGCTGCCCAAAGCCGTTTTTTCTGCCCAGACCATGCGTTTAGTCTAGATTCACAGGATCGTTGTTTACTGCTAGCTGCCGTCGTTAGACTTAGCTCATTTGTCCTACCTTACGCGTTGTTTTCCTGCAGTTAGCTGTGTATTGTTCGCAGAGTCCTTAAGCGCAATTCAAATTTCGTCGTACGTTATATCTGTTATCGTTCCCGTAAGAGTACCGATATAGAGCTGAGGGCGTCATAAAAGATTCGAATATCTTCGATACATAAAGGTTCCGCAGGACGGTAGATCTAAATTCCGTTATAGATAAATTATTTATAATTAACCTACTTTTCATCGACCCGGTTTATTTTGTCACAAAACTGTAAACCAATTGTTATCCTACTTATTGGTATCTACCTCTGTTTATCGTGCCATATCGCAGTTCGTGGAATTTACCCACTTTTTCGAATTCCTGAGGAGTGTGAAATAGAGGTAGATTGACTTTAAGCATCGAGGAGCTCAGAAGTAAGGCGATAAAACTGTCATTTCAGCCAAACTTGAAATATCCATGATTTTAGCTTCAACCCTAATTAAAAATTTAAGTAGTATTTATCATGTGAATACCTTTAATCATGTGATGGATTGGCTGTGGATGAAATTCACTTAAATCAAATCAATTTTGTCAATGGTTTGACGCGTTGTTCATCTTCACGGTTAAGCTGCAGTTGGACGAGCCCGTTATTTCAAAGACTCGTTGCTCGAAATTTATCTTTCATGTAGTAACAGATTATTGTACCCAGATGAACACTGGAGAAACTCAAATTTTGTAATAATTTCCTCATCCAATAATCTATTTCCGGCACGCGTTTCCTGCATTTTCAGGAAATAATAACTCGGTCAACTTGCATTATTTTAATTTGAAACTGATGGCAAAAATAACAGTAACTAGTTTTCCACATCTTTATTTGATTCATGGTTATTTTCGACTGGAATCTCGGGAGATTGGTTCATGATGAAGTATAGTGTGTCAGAGAGAAGACGAATACAAAGTATTCCTGTGGACTACATTCTCATCGACGACTCAGTTTCTTCCTTCGTGATATTGCACCCGCTCAATAGAACTCAAGCATGCTATCAGCTGATTTTATTCCCTGGGAGCTTACACCCTATCTTGCCTAGACGTTCACACGTAGATCCATGTGCGTGTGTACGCGCTCGCGCATGGGTCCCACAACACCGTCTGACTGTGACTTACAGGGATCGTATTACCACTCGAGGGATCGTACCACATATGCACCTCAAAGGTGTCATCGACTGAATTCGGACTGATGGCACGAATAGTGTGCACCTCCTTTACGTGTGCGGCCTTTTTGCACTCGGATTGCGTGTTGGGTCTCAATTGCACCATCTCGGTCGATTGGGACAGAATTTGCTCTTTCGGTTCTCCGTCCCGTTTGACAGTGAGCACACCACAATTCGTGACCGCATCGTACCGTTCCACGGAGTGATTTGAAGGTCGTTTGGTTATGTGGATAATCTTATCTGTCGACGAGTCCTCCACGGATGGTGTCTGTTTTGGCGTCGGTTCTGTCGTTGGACTGGGGCTAGGAAGACCACCTTCAGGTTTGGTGGCGTGAAAAAAGAGGACATCGCGATAGATTTATTATGATGCGTTGAATGCTTGTTGGACCGCATGAAGTCCGCAGCAGGTGAAGGGGATTTGGGAAAAAGCAAGGTTACCTAGTAGAACCTCTGAAATGAGAGGCTGTAACCGAATAACATCTCAGTTTGTAACTAAAACAATGAATTGAGAACAGAAATAAAACAGTTTTTCCCATTGATCGATACTATTGTGCAACATATATTGCATTTAAAAAAACTAAAATGATAACGTGATTAATTTTCACGATCCTAGAAATAAAACCCTCCACTAACTCTGATTATTCAAATTTCTGAGAACTGTAAAGTTTTCATAGAAGTTTCTCACAAGAATATGAGAAGACAAACAGTATGGCGAGAAAGCTTGTTTTCGTAATTTCGACATTATAAAGGATCAGAGAACATAAACCGGCCTGGTGTGCCACAGGTGGCAAGGAGACAATAACCAGTGTGATTGTGGCTCACCTTGCCGATACCAGGTATCAGACAGAAAGCGACGCATTTAAAATCATTCACACAGTGCCCCCAAGACATGTTGAACTACTTTTGGCAAGGTCGCTTGGCAACGGCAGTAGCGATCAAAATCCTGAATCTACCACTGTGAAAACAGAACAAAATGGTTGTCATACTCTAATTACCTTGGCTCCTATCCAACCTGGGTGCGGAGTCATCTCGGGATGACACAACACCGCGTGAAACATTGCACTTAAATCTGTCAGAAATTGTTGTTCCTTTCCATTTAATCTCAATGAATCAATCACATTTACTTCCACCTTTTGTACAAATACACAAACTGTAGATGCCTGAAGATGAAGCAACGAAAACAAGCTGGCTTGCCATAACATTTTCGATCGAGATTCTCACAATTACGAAAAAAACAAAGTTCTAAGTAGATTTCTTGAAATTCATTCATTGTGTTTCACTTGATTTCGTTTGTGAATACTATTATTGATTTTGTGCCTACCTGTTTCATCAATAATCCAGACTTTTGATAGCTGGTCATGGTTAGGGTCTTGGCAAAAAATTCCAATTGTAAATAGACAACTTAAGAACAAGGTATTTCAAATGAACTGAATAAATCTGCGTCGTTTTACGCGAAACTACTATCTGATTGGTCCATGTTGTTAGACGCATCGCGGTCACTTGAATGCTCGTAAAAGTGACGAAAGATGAATCAATGCATGCTATATGAAGTTAGCAATGTAAGAAATATATTAGATTGCACAGGTGCATCTGAATAGGGAATGCGTTGGATCAGAATTTTCGAGAGGTTGATTGATTAGTAAACGAGGGATGTATGGCTAGATGCAATGGGCCAGGGTAAATAACGGCCAGATCACTTGAATGTACGCACGAAATGTGGCATACGTGTTTCGCGGTCCGTCAGTGGTCGCAAACAATTTCCAAAAGGAAGGTGTTTAACTCTTACGAATTAATTAGACCATTTGTTCTGCGAGACCTATAGTGCAATGAATTGATCCCACGATTACCAGGATTTTTTGTTTGGTGATGTTAAACTGAAATTCTGGGCTCCATTCCCAAGGCGATTGTGTCCCGGAGCAGCCTATGGCTGAACAGAAATTTTCCGAACAAAGTGTGACTACTGACAACAATAGCAATGGAACAACTAAACATGCACAGAATGTCACACATTTTACATGGGTTTTCCAAGTACGTTGTCCGTCTACCACAGGAGTCATGAGTTCCTTCTTTTAATTTAAAATGTGGCCCAGGGAGAATCAGCTCACGTTGCGGCTACTCTGGCAGTCAGTTCGATTGTGCTTTAGTGTATTTTTATCTGAGATACAATGCTGCTGTAGCATTATGATTGGATGTCTGATTTGAGATTTGATGTAATCCTGATTGATTGATGATTGATTGATTGATTGATTGATTGATTGATTGATTGATTGATTGATTGATTGATTGATTGAAGCAATGAGTTGTCAAGAGGTGTGACCATAAATCTCACAGTCCAGGTGCGTTGCACAAGTTCTATTCGTTCCTTTCCACTCTGAAGATCACCAGTAATGAATCCAAATGGCTAGACCCTAATTGTATAAATGAACTTCTTTACCCAAATACGGATGAGACAGATAGATACAAAAATCCAAACTCGGTTATCCATTGAGGATTCCGAGAGAGAGAAAGTGATGGAGGGAAAAGGATATTTTATAGCGTATTAATCAAAACCAATTATCACATGATGCGACTTACAGATATCCTCTTTTGATGGGATGTAACACTCGCCACTGATCGGGGTAGGCACATTTTCACACCACTCGTCTTTGAAGTTACCCGGTGGGAAGTATATTCCCACCACAATCACTTTGCATCCGTCCGGGGATTGAGCCATCCCAAACCCGGCGTGTGTGGTCGACTTCCAAACAATTTGTGAGAAGTGGCCTGGAAATGATAAACCATTTGGATGGATCAGTTCCAGTTTACAGGAAAGTGAAGCGTAAACAAAACGGTTGATGAAATTTCGCGGCCAGATCTGGATAGATGAATAAAATAAACTCTGCTTGAGCATCGATACCGCTGCACCGTAAGGTCACTTTCAACAAACCATCGCCGGTTTGATTTACTCCGAGTGGCGATTGATTATACACAAACCCGATAAAACGACTGAGGGAAAATGTTGGTAAATCGGTCTACCGGACCTATTACATCACCGTACGAGTAGGTGGTGTGAGTAGTTGAGTTGATGCACTGTGGATGATACCTATTAAATTGTTCCTTTCATACGACACTCTACCGTTCTTTTATTTTATCCTTGTCCATCAAAGGACTAACTATTCCCTGGACTAAATCTTTGTGCTCAATCTACACTGTACATTCTTTTAACAGATAGAGGATAAATAACATCGTAACCCCTCTAGATCTAATTGGTGTTTTTGAAGGAACGGAAGCAGATTTTGTCCGTTTTCCACAAATCCATATTGAATCTGATTTGCTTGGACTCGTATTTTGCAAATTTGAATTATGGAAAACCAGATGTAAATGTCTGTAATCAAACTCAGTGACCATATCAGACGTGTATGAAAGGGTGGTGAGCTGCTTACTGATACCTATCTCTGGTTCAGGGGTCCCACTGACTGTTGCTCGCTAACTACCGCAAATTTCAAATGACAATTCGTCGTGTATATGGCAAATGAAGCGTGAACTGAAAAGCTCGGAAGCACTGGACAGCTGTTTCGACCTGGTTGGGTCTCATCAGCAGTGCGAATCCATCGACCCGACTGGGGATCGAACCCGGGACTTCATGGGCAGAACGCAAGCGTGCTACCCACTACGCCACCGGGCAGCTGATCAGACCGTTTTTCATTTTCCATTTACACGATATAGCACAACCCATCTTTGAGAGTTTGTTGCGGGCCACGGACCCTGCTCAACTCAGCACTAGCCTCCAGGGTTATGACTTGGTTGGAAACATCCACAACCTGACTGATTATTACCGCAAATTTCTTCATAACTCAGATCGCCAATCACTTGAGATCCCACTAGGGCATAGAATTCCTCCCGTTTTTCGGTCCGCCACATGACTGATCTATAGTTGAATAATTCTACGCTCGACTGCTAAGCTGTCAATTATTCAGTATCCAAGTGTCGCAAATATCGCTGAAAATACTGGAAACCCCGTTTCGTCCTACTCGTGTGGAATCCTCGGTTAACTGTGCGTCATATTGTGGTGGGTTAACCTTTCAAGAGACCAGCCAAAGGTCTACGCGATCTCGTTTCTGGGCATTAAGCCATGGACCAACATTAGTGATCTATCAACAGCCATACATTTCAAACAGAAGCCGTGTGACTCGAAGAACAAGGACGGCGATTGATCTATACTTTTTGAACAATGATGTTTTTATTTGCATATTATTTAATACCATTGGTTTCTTTCAATAAGTGAACCGCTACTTTCGTGGCTTTTACCTGCGTCTCGGCGGCTGGAGATTCCAGCGCACGATTGCTAGTGCGATTCTGTGATTCAATTGCGGTTGTGATTCGTGATTCTTAACCCGGACCAACTTCGATTAATACACATACCCGACATGAACTCGCCACGGGTCGAACGGCTGGGATGAGTGTAGGGTTTGTAAGTCCCACATGCGCACATACACATACACATGCACATACACACACACACCCGTTGCCACCAGGTTACCCGAACTGGTTTCAGTCTTCGGTGTCCCTTTGACAGTATGTGATATAACACCTATCCGCCCCTTCTATTCACCCACTGAGGTGTTTTCCCTCCAAAGTGACATGCTACCAGGCGTTGACTCACCTACTAGGTAATAGATTACAATTAATCTCCAACTACTCACCGCATTCAAGTACCATGCGCAGTAGTTCAACGATGGCTGAACACCAAGTCACACTGCTACCTATCGGAACCCGCGGATTTCGGGCAAAACAGGATTTCGAAGTGCAAATTCCATTCCATTAACAATATTTGTTGTGAGTTGTGGAACTAAGTGTGGGACCTTGTGACTGTGGTAAATGTGTTTAACCAGCTTCCCGTCGAAGTCTCACGNTAAATGTCACAGGAATGATGTGAAATCGGACACGATTGTGTTCACTGCAGGGATCACTTCGCACGCACACACACACACACACACACACACACACATACACACACACACCGGTCCATCAGAGACCACAGAGAAAACTCAGACAGTGCATGATTGTCGCACGGATCAATAGCATCACTGTGACGACCAAGCTTTGGTCAACCCCAACAACAAAACTGGTCCGCGCAAACAACGTGAGGGGGTTGGTTACATTAGCCTGGCCTTGGTGATCGAACCCCTTATTTCTTTTGTGTTTTTTGTTGTCCATTCTAATTGGCAATCTTATCTTCGTCTCATGCTGACAATAGAAATCATCCTGACTGACGCATGCACGAGTACAGATGCAGTGAAATGATCCAGGGTGCATTCTGTGCTTGTGAATTCTCGACTGAAATTTGTGACGGAAATTGGTTTCCGTGAGCTATGTGAATCGGCTTCCGTTTGGCTCAGTGGGCAGTGTGTGTCTGTGTGTTCGCCTACTCCCTGTTATTGTAATCCGGGTTGCATCCTCTTTTGTATGGTCAGATATGTGTAGTCTGTGAAGAACAACTTTAGCCGTTTTCTAGGTCATTTCCTTGCTCAGTGAATGCCCGAACAATTCACCATTTCACCCAATCACAGTTTCATTTAACATCTGAACGCTTATTATACGTAAGTTGTGAAACCAGTATAGGAAAAATAATTTAGTGTAATTTAATTGGCTCTGATGTTTTTTTTACGGGGTCGCCCTTACTAAATAAATGGTTCTCTCTATTTGAAAAACTGCAGTAGTATCTGAGTGAGAGACAAACAGGATTAATTAGGCGTGACACTAGAGAAATGATTGAACGAAATACACTCTAAATCAAAATACTTTGTATCTCATCCAGAATCACTGAATTAAAGCCAAAAATATTGCTTCTTGGGCAAACTATAAACACCTTCTTCCCCCCCCCCCAACCGCATCCCAATAAGTAGCAGTCGGGCTCTCGGTTACGAACCCTAGTAGAAATAAATTTCTCACGCCCCACATCATAACCTACTCTATAAAACGCTGTCCTTTTATCAACTCATTCGCTTTTACAAGCCCTGCACGCTACCAGTGTTTTATTTCGTCCGATGATTGATTTCACTTTGGATTTGGGTTTTTCCTTTATTCACGCACACTATAGAGGTGACTTTTAATGACGAAACAATGTCGTTTTACTTGAGAGTAGTGGAGAATTTCGTATAGCAAAATGAGAAAACCAATCGATAACTGAGCAGCTAGGAAGCACTGTACATTTGCTCGGAGCCACATTGGGTGGGATCAGTTGCTCAGTGAGCAAACAGGCAGGTTCCTGGTTCGATCCCGTAAACTGTTTTTTTTTCTGTAACGTAGAACACAAGACCCATTAAGACTCATTAAAAATGCGCAACTGTTGTGCCTTTGCGAGAAGTGTGCGGTTCGAGATATGGGGCGACGACACCACGATACTACAAACTGCTCATCTGTTTTGACACGGATAACATAGCGATTTGGTGCTCCTTCATGCCCATCGTACAAAAAATAAAAATCCAATGTTCCTTTCTGTCTGGCGCTTATTGATTTGAACCGTTTTTCTCGCTACTCAAGCATGCCGACCGAATTTCTGGAGTAGATTCGTGCATAAGAGTGGGAACGAATGTATGCCTGCACCAAAATACATCAGCGGCTACGTCAATCGAAAGCCAAATGTGATCGAAACTGGTTTCGAGTGGCATGAGAATATTTTCTTTTAATCCTGTATAATTCTAAAACACATTTTTGTTAAAATAATTCTTGACAGACTTTATACGATTAACTCTTTATCAAGTCGACTGGTAATAGTTGTTACGTGTGTATTTCAAACTGTTCAGTCTCGGACCCGTATCCCGCTAGCAAAGTACTCAGGGTAGGATAGGTTTATTATGAATCGTTCACAATGAATCGTGTCAAGCGTATGTTCAACAAGGCAGCAATAGAACTAACGGCCAATCAGGATCGGGCCGATGCCGACCGACAGTTTGGTTTGGACAAGTGCGTGAATAGATATCAATCGATAACGAGCAAATTAACGTTGCGCAGTTTGGCAGAACGTACACACTTAAGCCGCAGACATGAGTTAAGTAGCTTAGCTTATTAACGGAGGATAAAAGCTACGACAATCAAATACCGCAATCTCCGGCCAATTATGAAAGGTTACTACGATACACCCACACATAAATAGATCGATAAGAAAGAGGAAATCAATTTCATCCTGTGATGCAGAAAGTCTTCTCACGGCAGGTGCCAATTGTCGTAAGATCATAAAAGGGTTAGGCAATGTATGCAATAGTAATGTTTCTGTATGTAGATTTACGTGTAGAAACTTGAAATTAGAATGGTAGTTGGGGATTCTACACATCTTGTATGATTCTGTTAAGCCGTCAGTGCTCTTCTTCACGAGGTCTCTTGTCAATCTACTGATCACATGGGTCAAAACGCTTGGAACTGAAAAGCTCAACTGAAACAGATGCATCCCCATGATAACCCGCCCGGGGCAAAATATTCAGGGACTGGGAGAACAAGGCAAAATCTTTGTTCCTTCTAGCCAAGAAGAAATATGGGAGAAATGTATTATCAATGTGGCCAAGTCCAAACTCCATAATCAGACTCTGGAGTGTGGTGAGTTTCTTGAGCCTATATGCGTAAAAGGGATTGTCTTCGGGGCCTTGCAAAACCTCTTAAATGTTCAATTATTTACCAATTTGCCTGGATAATTAGTAACCAAGCTTTCGATAAAGTTCTCTGAGGGTTTTTGCTCTTTCTCATCTGATCCTGACTTGCATCGGAAGGCTGCATTCAATGAGTATCATCCCCAAAGCAACTGACATTTTCACCCCTCTGTACTCAATCCATATGAGGCTATCCCTGGTCTATACCCTTTTGCAAGTCAAGTTGTCCCAGTATCATATCAAGACGTCCGCGAATCATTTCAGCGCCGGTAAGGTCAACGCGACAGCTTGAAATAATCCGAGGACATATTGATATGATACTGGGGGACAAATTGACTTGCAGAAGGTATAGTACTGATACACACTCCAGGCCAATAGAATATACAATACCAATATCTTCTGGCTGACGAGAAATCACTTGCCAGGACGGGGGGGGGTGGATTCATCCCATTATCACTAATCGTCTGTTTTCACCTATTCAGTGAAATAATACCCGACCTAGAACGGCAACCAGTCGATAGAGTTTTACCAGGTTGGGGACTTTGTGTTTCTTCGTTTGAATAAAATGTGCTCAGTATTGCTGACTTACAACAAAAACAACAACAACAACAACAGCAATAACCACAGTCTTGCATGCATGATTTAGTAACAACCGAGGCGGAGTTTGGACAATTTTTCCTCGGGCAAAATTTGCCCACAGACTTCACTTGTTCTCGTCCGATTCTGTTACACGTTGACGCCTTCAAAGTTGTTTCACGCAGAGACAGGGTCTATTTGGATTCACGTTTTCTATTGCGATTGAGTACAGTCAGCAGAAGAAGCCGTGACTGTCTATGTGTATGTGTGTTTGGAGCACCTCAACTCCCAAATTTATCTTATCCATCAAATAGGGGCACAAGCTGTATCATGAATGAACCAAGAAAAAGAATTTGCACAATCATGATAGAATTACTTACCACATGGTAACTGGTTTTCTTGACTGAAATTGTAGTTTGCGATTTCACTGTACCACATAAGTGTGGCTTGTTTTCCTGTGTGTGTGTGTGTGTGTGTGACAGAGGGAGATGGAGAGAGAGAGAGAGACAGAAAAACTGTGGCTGTGTATGGATAAGGTAGGTTATCGGACGGAACCAAATAACTTCTCCGTCCCAATGACAAAACTGAGTGCCATGAGTGTCATGGCACGGCTAAAATATGATTCAAAGAGGGTCTGCCTAAAATATCCATGATAGTACAAGTAGAACTTAATGCCTTTCCCACCATTTCAGTCCCCCATAA